CACGGCGCCCCCACCGACGCCGCCGCCGCAACCGCCTCGCTCGCCGGCGGCACCGCGCCCGCGCCCGCCCCCGCGCCCGGCCCCGCGGCCACCGCACCGCCGCCCTCCTCCTCGTCGTCCCCGCGGCTCGTGATCATTGCCAGGATGGCCCGCGCCACCGCCTCCGGCCGCCGCAGGAACCCGTCCTTCGACAGGTCAGCGGGGTCGGCGTACTTAGTCACGGCCCCGCTGACGCGTATCGAGCCGTCGCTGCGGCCCTCCTTGTCCTTGGCCACCTTGATCTGGCGCTTGTGCTCAGCTGACAGGTCCTCAAGCTTGAGGTCGTACTGCACGCCGCACTCCGCGTCGTCGAGCTTGCGCTGCAGCGCCGCCACCACGTCGCGGGGCGCCTGCACCAGCGTAGGCATCTGGCGGGCGCGGGGTGGAGGGGGGGGGGGCGAGAGTTAGGCGGAGGGGCCCGGTCAAGGGGTGGGGCGCGCGACCGGTTGGCTGCGCGGCCGCGCAGCCACCCGCGCCGCTGCAGATTGGTTAGGCAGCGGCACCAGTTTCCAAGCTGCGCGTGCTGGTGCCGCACCCGGCAAAGCCGGGTCGCAGCCGCGTCGCGGCGCGACTGTGCCGGCGCACTCACCGCCTGCGGGTGCGTCAGCAGCTCCAGCCGCTCAGGGTGCGGCAGCGGCTCCCCGCCCAGCGCGAACCACCGCTGCATCGCCGGGTTGAACAGCCGCGCGCGCGGCTCCTTCTCGCCCTTGCGCTTCTTGCCGCCGCCGCCACCCGTGTCCTTGCCGCCGCCGCCGCCGCTGTCGCGCTCGCGCTTGCGGGCGGGCTCGCGCTTGTTGGTGTGCTCTGGGTGCACCGAGATGAACATCAGGTCACCCTGGCGGGGTGACGCGGTTTGGGGGCCGGGTGTGTCGGCAAGGCCAGAGGCAGGGGGGGGGGGCGAGCAGTGCAGGCACCGACAGCCACGCGGCACAGGGCGCTTCTGACGTGCTGCACATGAAAAAACACGCGTGGTCGCGCACTGATCGCGCAAGCAGTCCGCACAGGCACACGCGCCACATCATGTGAGCACACGCACGCGCGCGCACACACACGCACACCTCCCGCGCGCACACACGCACGCACGTGCACACACACAAACACCTCCTGCGCGCACACAGACCCACTCCCTCTCCCATGCTCACACGCACAAGCACCCACCCCAGCCCGCCGCGTACGTCCTCACCTGCTGGTTGTGCCAGACGTAGCCAATAGCAAACCCGCCCGACGCCGGGTCCTCAACCGCCACCCACCCCTCCTCGATCGCCGGCTCGCGCCCCACGCCGTCGAGCGGCACGCGCTCGTCGTCGTACGAAATGTGGCACTCGGCGGTGGCCGCCTCCACGTCCGGGTCACCCAGCGTCACCCGCAGCCGCCCGGCCCACTCGCGCAGGCTGGCCGGCTTCTTGGGGGAGCCGGGGGCGGGGCGGACCTTGATCATGTCGCGCCACTTGTTGGAGGTCTTGTTGCTGAGGCGCTCAAAGTTGTTGGCCGTGATCGGCACGACGCCGCCGCCGACGAGGACGAGGCTGGGATGCAGCGCGGGTGCGAGGGGCGCCCAGGGCGGCGTGAGCGCGCAGGCGGGGGGGCAGCCGACGCAGGTGCGGCTGTGTGTGTGTGCAGGCGGCGTGGGGCAATCAAGCAAAGGGAAAGCGGCTGTGGGGCTGGTCAGCTGCGGGGCGCTGCGGAGCCGGCCTCGCAACGTGATCACGGCGCCGCCAGATCACGGGTGGTGGGTGATTTGGGCCGCAGACCTGCTGTCCACCAGGAAAACGCCCTCCATGTCGCCACAGAAGACCTCGACTCGTGAGGGCACAGGGCTGTAGGATGGTCGCAACAGGGGCGGGGCACGCGTCAACAATAGCAACGCGCGCCTGCGCCTGGTCGGTCTGTCTGGCATAGACACGTGTCCGGCGTGCGCCATGCTGAAAGCAGCGCAGCGCGCGCCCACACGCACCAGCTCTGGCCGCCCGCGCGAAATCATCAGACATGAACAAGCCAAGCTCTAAAACCACATATCGGGTTGCGGGGCCTTTGATCGCCCCGCGGCCCATGTGCTGGCCGCCCTGCTTGCCTGGGCTCTCCAGCCTCTACATCCGCCCAGTCGCCCGAATTCATTATATATGCCATCTTGGCAAAGATGCGGCGGTTTGCGCCTCAATTTCGTGGCGCGCTGCTGCTCGTTGGGATCTTCAGGCCAGGTCCGGTATTTGTCTGTGCAGCTAGCAAGCTGCCATCTCCCGTTTCAAGCTGCTGCGCACATCAGGTTCCTCGCCGCGTGGCTTGCCCTTTCCCACTCTTCGGGGAGGAGTGGTGCGTATCGGCAACAACACGAACTCTGGCGTGTATAACGAGTGGGTAAAAGTCGAATACGCAGCCCTACCCGTGCATACCCTCCTTAACGTGCGCCTTTGTCCCTCATCAGGACCTACCTGCGCAGTGAGTGATGAGTGACCGAGTGCCGCTTTGCGCCCATCCGCCGTCAAGGCTTTATGCTCCATTTGGTTGTCTGGGAGACGCCGCCCATGGGAAGCAACCATTTCACTGAAGACCTGCGCGCGGGAGGTCTTCAACGAGGGCAGGGTGTGGGAAGGAAAGGTGGGCGCATGTGCAGGCTGAGCAGTGGTCGGACGAGCTACCGTGTGCATGTTGTGCATCCATCGCGCGCAGTGCATGTTGTGCATCCATCGCGCAGCTCTGCTGGCCGGTACGCCAGAACGACATGCATCTGTATCTCGTGCCGTATCGTCCACTCAGCAGCCCACCCGCCGCCACCACAGTAGATAGTTCATGGCCGCAATAGAAGACTAACCTCAATGGCCTCAACAGAAGACTGTGACCGTTTTTCTAGAAAGGGTACAGCGCTTCTGCGGCTGTTGACTGAGACCCTCGCTGTAGGTTGCTCACATACTTGAACATACTTGATGTGATAAGATCTGACCAAGGGAAACCAGCTGTACCAAAAGAAGCTGCATTCCACAGTGCCCTGTTTTCGCCCCTCCTTGAGCTCCTGAAGCGGACTGGGCGCTTGAACATGGAGATTTGCACTGGCTGCACAGAATAAGCTCCACCCATTTCCCTGATCTGAAGGTCAGGCCACTGAGCCGTTTGTCGCAATGCATATGCTGGCACAACCTCGGCATCTCAACTGCTCAATCCTGCCCAACACTGCTTGCCACTTTGCAAGTGAAATTGGTTGTGAGCATGGGGCAATGCGGAGGCAGTCTGCCAGTTTTTGCAGTACAGCAGGTGTCTTTCCAAACACGATGCGAGCGGCGTTGGCCAATGTCAGCTTGCAGGCCTTGGGCAGCGCCAACTGGCTGGTGCGTGCTCCGCGGTCATCCTGCGTTCGACGAGGCAACAGGCTCACAGCAGTGTTGTCCGCCAGCAACGACCCCAGTGCACACACACGTCAGCGGCAAACCCCGGCATGCATCACCTGCCGGTGACCTGCTTGCTACCTAAAAAGCCGCCGACCCAGCAAAACAGTGGCACACGCACGCGCCGGCTGTGCAGCCCAAGCCGCGCGCCCGCTGCCCTGGGGCGCTGGCCGGGCGCGACACTCATGAAAGTTTTCTACGAGGTGAATCAGTTTCTTTACTATCCTCCACACAATCATGCACACACGCACGCACACAGGACGCACACACGCACGCACACACGCACGCACACACGCACACACACACACACACACACATACCACACACCACACCAAACGCTGCTCGCCCCCACAACGCGCACCCAAACGCACACACGACTGCACACGTGACATACTCCGATGTTTGGGTGGCCCTAAAAAAATGCTGAATCACAACAGAAACCACCCTTGGATCGCCTCGTGGCAGCACATGGTCAGTCCTCAAAAAGGCCGCCGCTGCCGGGAAGGTGCTGTGCTGCAGCTGACACGCGATCGCGCCGGGCCGAGCTCTAGCACGCTACCCCACCTATTCTTAGCCACATACTCTAACAGCAGAGCATCCTAGCCCCCTTGTTCGCCCTTAGCGGCGCCTTCCTTGCCTTTGCAGCAGCCCCTGGCAGCATGACGTCGAGTCAGCGTTTTAACACCGTCGCAAAGACGGTCCACGCCTCGTTTATGAGGGCGGTAGTCGACCAGGAACCCCCCAGCATGGCGCTGCTCGCGGCCACCTGCCACGAGTGCTTTGAAGGCAGCAAACAACAAGCCAAACGCGAAAAACAATGACCTGGCTACACAGTCGAGCCACCGTTGCTGTGCAGGTGGGGCAGACGGTCTTGCTGGTCCCGCAGGCTCGCGGGGGCCGACGTGGCGGCGCAGCATCAGCATGAGCATCAGAGGGCTGCGGCTCATGCGCAATTTTGACGCCTTTGCTGCTTGGATGCTGCAGTTGCGGCACACTGCATGCGGCATACACACCGTTTGTGTCGTGATTTGGCAGGGATGCAGAGGCGGGTTCACTCGTGGCAGGCAGCTGAGCCCTGCTCCGTGCTGAAGCGCGCACGCACACCGACTGTCGCACCCCGCGCCCCTGCCGCAGAGCGCCGCCTGCTGGCCAGCTGGGTCGTCAAGGCGCGCCGCCGCGGCGTCGGGCAGCACCAGATCGTCACGTGGGTCCGCAGGAAGGTCGGTGCGCACGTGACCGTCTTCCGGACTCTCGCCGACGGGACCCTCGCGTGCGCCGCGCCCTGCCTGCTGTGCCAGCGCGAGCTCGTGCGCTTCGACCTGCGGGTGCACTGCTCGCTCGCGCCGGAGCAGTGGTGGAGCGGGCGCCTGACGGACGACTCGGCGCCGCCCGGGAAGCTCACCGCGCGGCAGCGGATGATGATGCCTGTCAGCGAGTCCCAGAGCGCCGCGCAGGCGCAGCAGACCGCGGCGCCTGCGGCTGCAGGGGCGGCGCAGCAGAAGCAGCAGCTTGACGGCGGCGGCGGGCATGGGGGGGGCGGCAGCGGCGGCAGGCGGCGGGTGCAGGGGGGCTCGCGGCGGGCGCTCGCGCGGCGCAGGAC